CTCACTTTAAAGCCATTCCCCCTTGTCCCATCACCATCCACCCTCACAAACAGCTGTTCCCCCTCCTGTTTTTATGCTCCCTTATTAGATTATTCTTCAATTCCAAATCTTTTAATTCAGTTTTACCCTTGCGAGTTGGATAGGGGGAGCCTCCTTAACTTTCATTTCCTTCCTGTGTGAATACTTAGAGATGAAGCATCACCCACAGTACACACTTGTGACCCGGGAGGACCTGGCTCCAGGCTGGGCTGTGCTCTGGGCTGCTGGGAGGCATCTGAGGTTGGGTTTCCTGGGAACACCAGGAACATTTGGGCATCTTCATTGCTGAGGATGCGGGCAGCTCTGAGCGTTGTGCGTCGCATTGGTTGCTTGTTCTGTTGATGCTGGGGCTCTGGGAAGTGAGCAGCTGCTGAGGAGAGCTTGGATGAGGTTCAGTTCATGGGATAGGACCAAAAAAGTGCTGGATGGGATGTGAGAGGCTGCAGGACATGGCAGGTGTCGATGAGAGAAGTGATTACCAGCAGGGATCTGGGGAAGGGGGGTTGGGATCATTGGAGGAGTCAACTCTTGGTCTTCAATGACCACAGGGATGTGGCACTTGGGGACGTGGGCAGTGGGATGGGTTGAGGTTGGGGTGGGGATCTCAGAGCTCTTTCCCGACCTCAACTATTCTGTGATTCTGTGAAATGGCCGCATTTCACAGATAACTGAAAGGGAACTGGGGAGCTTTTGGGGTCACCCATCAGTAACCTGTCCGGGGTCCCGGCAAGGCCAACATTGTCTGGGTAGCGGAATGGGAAATGCTGAGTTTGAACTCAGGTGCAGCAATACTGAGATGAATGGGGGAAAAGACTAACGAGAGGCGGATTGTTCATTTGGGAGGAAACCAGGGAGGTCAAAAGCAGTGCCAAGAAATGGGAGAAAGGATAGCAAGGTACGTGGAAGGTGTGAGCGGGGTTGCGTGGCACAGCATCAGCCGTGTTTGATCAGTGCAGCCCAGGTGGAGGCTATGAATCAGATCTGTGCTTCTGACCATCCCTGTGTGCCCTTGGTCCTGGCTGCACAGCTGCAGGTGGGTTGAGTGTCCTGGGATCTGCCCTGGGCTTGCTGGCAGGGTTGCTCCATGTGGTTGATATGTGTGGTTGTGGTTTATGGGCTGGATGGGCTCCTCCAGGGCAGAGCTGTGGCTGCTGGTTCCCTGCACAGCAGAGGATGCTCAATAAGGGCAAAGGGGAGGACTGTGCTAATTACAGACCTGTCAGTGTCACTGCACAGCCTGGCTGAATTACGGAGAAGATAATTCTGGGAGGTGATGCATGGAGCTGGGCTCTGCACTTGGGATGGGGCAACCTGGGCTATAGGTACGCACTGGGGGATGAGAGGCTGCAGAGCTGCCCCAGGAATGGGGTCTGGGGGCTCTGGTGAGTTGGTTCTGAAGCAGCAGTGGTGCCATGGAGCCAAAAGGGCCAGCAGTGCCATGGGGTGAAGCCGGCCATGGGGTCAGGGGAGGGGTGAGAGGGCAGGGGGTGTGAGGGGTGGTTGGGGGCTCTGGGTTTGTTCAGCCCAGGGCAGAGGAGGCTGAGGGGGAGGACTCATGGTGACTCTACAGCCCCTCATGGCCCTACAGCCACCTCCTGGTTCCCATGGCCCTACAGCCCCCATGGCCCTACAGCCACTCTTGGCCCTACAGCCCCCATGGCCCTAGAGCCACTCTTGGCCCTACAGCTCCTCGTGGCCCTACAGCTCCTCGTGGCCCTACAGCTCCTCGTGGCCCTACAATTCCTATGGCCGTACAGCTCCCCATGGCCCTACAGCTCCCCATGGCCCTACAGCTCCCCATGACCCTACAGCTCCTCATAGCCCTACAGTTCCTGTGGCCCTACAGCTCCTCATGGCTCTACAGTTCCTATGGCCCTACAGCTCCTTGTGGCCCTACAGTTCCTATGGCCCTAGAGCCATTCTTGGCCCTACAGCCCCTCATGGCCCTACAGCCCCTTGTGACCTACGGTAGGGAACTGCTTTAGCAGAGGTTGGGCTCACTGATCCCCTGGGATCCCTTCCAACCCTGTGGCTCTGTGTGTACAGCAGGAGGGCAGTGCTGTGTGTGATGCTGATGCTCCGTTTTGTGAAGTGCTGATATTCATGGACTGCGTGCCTCACTATCATGGTACAGATAACTCACATTTGCAGACCAGGTTCTCCCCGTTCCTCGTGTTTAGAGGCTCAGACAGCACATGAGGTTGTTCTGCCCTTAAACTCGTGTTCTTGTGGAGTTGTGGGAGCTGTTCTGCAGCTCCTGTCTGTTGCAGGTCAGATCTGTGGGTCCATTGAGCTCAGATTGTTGGAGGAACTCATTGGTGAGCAGTGATCCGAGGGGCTGAGCTGAATGCTGGGGAAGTCGTGAAGGGTCGTAGAATCCTAGAATGGCCTGGGTTGCAAAGGCCCACAGTGCTCACCTGGTTCCAACCCCCTGCTGTGTGCAGGTCGCCAACCAGCAGCCCAGGCTGCCCAGAGCCACATCCAGCCTGGCCTTGAATGCCTGCAGGGATGGGGCATCCACAGCTCCTTGAGCAACCTGTTCCAGTGCTTCACCTCCCTCTGGATGAAAAACTTCCTCCTAAAAATCCCGAGTGGGAACTTTGCTGTAGGCTGAGGGTTCCAGAGCTGCTGGCTGTGCTGGGGCTGGGGCTGTGTGGGACTCCCAGGCTCTGTTCCAGGCATTTCTCTCCTCATCATACCACTTCTTCCTCACCTTGGCCAGCTTTACCCTCACTCAGAGAGTACTGAACGTTGGGAAAGAGCTCTGAGATCCCCAATCCAACCTCAGCCCATCCCACTGCCCACATCCCCAAGTGCCACATCCCTGTGGTCACTGAACACCCCCAGGGATGGGGACTCCCCACTGCCCTGGGCAGCTGTGCAGTGCTGGCTGCTCTTTGCAGCACAGATTGTTCCCAGTCTCCAAGCTGGAATGGAAAGAACACGAAGGGAAGGAATAAGGAAGCCCTCTTGCTGGCCATCCAGCATCCCTCTCTTGTTCCAGGAGGGTGCAGGTCAGTCAGAACGTGGGGGGGTTGAGCACATCTCGTTCCCAACGTGTTGGTAGCTTTGCTGCTGTGTGGCAAAGTGATGTGGAACATCATCTCCTGTTTGTGCAGGCAGGGAGGGTGGGTTTATTGGCATTTCTGGTTTCAGGATGTGACAGTGCAGCTTTGCTGGGCGCTCCCACCCTGAGCTCCCAAATCAGAGCGGTGCCACTCACTGCAGCCCCATCCCCTCTCCTGTCCTGGAACTGCTGTGGTGCAGAGGGGGAGAGCTGAGTGCTCTGCTGGTGCCACAGCATCACAAAGTGCTTTTGGAAGATACCTTCTGCCTTTTCCCTGCCTGTGGAGCAGGCTGTGAGGTGGGGAGGATGTGTGATGCGATTGCAGGTGGTGAGGAAAGGGATCTGGAGCTCCTCCTGCACCCCCTCCTGGTGCTGCTCATCGTACAGCCCTGGTGAGGCACATCCTGCTGTGCAGCGACACCTGAACCCAGCACAAAGGCAGCTCTGTCACAGTGCACAGCCCCAACCCCAGGCAGAATGTTGGAGAGCCACAGCTGGCCCCAAAGCCCAGCAGATCCTCTGTGCCCCTGCTGTGGGGCTCAGAGCCTGGCCAGGTGCATCACTTCTTAACACAGCTGGTGTTCCTCAACACCTGCAGCAGTCTCATGGCAAAGGAGCCCTTCTCCTTCATCCCCTCACATCTCATCACACAGCTCCTGTCTGCTCTCAGCTGGGCAGCAGTGCAGGGTGGGTTGGGGCTGGGCAGTGTCAGAGCCCTCCTGGTCCAGCTGAGGCCATTCCTTGGACAAGGAATTGCTGTGGGACAGGGCAAAGTTTTACAGCTGGGAGTGCGATGGAACCAGAGGCTCCTTGGGCTGATGCAGGTGTCCATGAGTGAGTGGTTCTCTGCTTCTGAGCACTCCGGAAGCCCTGTGCTGGAGGGCATCGTAGTGCAGCATCACACGAGGATGCACTCATGGTCTGGGAGCATCGCTGGGATGCATCTGCTCTGCAGCCACCCAGCAGTGAGTGAGTGAGCTCCACTCCTGCATCCTAGTTGTTGTCCCCGTTCCATGCACGGCGCTGGGACGTGGAGGAGGCTTTGGGGACCTTCTGGCAGCAGTGCTACTCTGAGCACTCCTCATTTCTCAGGGGTTCTGGGGCCATCTCAGGGGGTCTGAGCTGGGGGACGCTGCCACCGTGCTGCGGATCCTGCATGAAGCCAAGGCAGGCTGTGCATGCAAACCAATTCACAGAGGTTTTCCTGGGCTCCTGGACACCTCTGTCTGCAGAGCCTCAATCTCTGTCTCCATCTTTTGCAGCTGAAACCCCCATCGAGGAGTTCACCCCGACGCCAGCCTTCCCCGCGCTGCAGTACCTGGAATCCGTGGACGTGGAGGGCGTTGCGTGGAGAGCGGGGCTGCGAACGGGAGACTTCCTGATTGAGGTGAGCATGGTGGGACGGGGCTGGCAGCCCCCCCATGCTCTGCTGCTGTCCCTTAGCAGCAGCTCTGAGCGATGGGTAGCGAGCGCTGTTGAAGTGCTGGTGAAAATCCCCTGGTGAAAAAAACCTTTGGTGCAGTCGTCCAAGCAGATGCGTGTGCCCTGTGCTTGAGAAGGGCCAACAGGTTCCTTTCTGCTGGCTGAAATTATGGGGAAGGGTGGAACCTGGAGGAAGGACCCATTGGGTTCCGCCTCTGCAGGATTGTTTTGTGCTGATATTTACTGTGGCTCTGCCCAACGTGGTCCAACAGCTGGGGTCTAAAGAGGAAGCAGATCTGGTGGATGCTGCAGTCTGCCCGTATCTCCTGCTCGGCCCTTTTGGCAGTCCTGCAGGGGCTGCTCGGGGCCCTGGGGGCTGTGATGGAGGCAGAGGGTCCTGAGATGCCCCCAGCCTGATTTGCTGTGCTCTGTGCAGGGCTGCAGTGCCCTGGAGCTCACGGCCCCTGGGAGGGAGCGTGGTGAGGAGCGCTCCTCGTTAGCAGCCGCTTCGTCTCCCGGCGAGCGCAGCAGGGGACAGTTTGAAGGAGCAATTTGAAAGAGAGAGATAACGTTAATTTGTTAATGTGCACGGGGATTTTCATTGCTATAGGAGGGAAGTGTAGGAGAAATTACCGTGGTGCTTGAAAATGAAAATGATGTTCAGAATCTGTGCCAAATGGATACAGCAGGAATAGGCCAAGTCGGAGCCGGAGAAGGGGCTGTTGCAGAGCAGTGGGGAAGGAAGGGTTCTCAAATCTCTCGGTCTGCGTCTGCAACATCACTGCAAATGGACCCCAGAGCCTCTGGGAACTGCTGCAGGGGCAGCTGCAGAGCTGCCTTCCAATCCCTGCAGTTCTGGAACTCTGTGGATCCTCTGAGCCCCGCCATGGGGATGGAGCAGCGCGCGCTGAGCGGATGGACGCGGTCAGGGATGGCACCAACATGGAGCAGGGTTTTGCTTTCTGGTGTTTTCCCATGCAAACATCCTAAGGTTTTAAACCAGTAAGGCAGCACGTTCTGTCTGCATCAGTCCAATGTGGGGATGTGAGATGTGGAAGGAAAAAATCCTTTTCCCAGAGGCAGTGCAGCCCTGGCACTGCTGCCCAGAGCTGTGGGTGCCCCATGCCTGCAGGTGCCCGAGGCCATGGATGGGCCCTGGGCAGCCCGAACTGGGGGGCACACAGCCCACAGCAGGAGTTGGGCAGGGGGTTCCTTCAACCCAACCATCCTAGGATTCTATAATCTATAGCATTCCTTCCAACCCAACCATCCTGTGCTTCTGTGATTTTCAAGGATCCTTCCAACCCAACCCAATCATTTGAGGATTGTGTGATCTTTAAGGACCCTTCCAACCCAACCATTCTGTGGTTCTGTGATCTTTAAGGATCCTTCCAACCCAACCATTCTGTGGTTCTGTCACCTTTAAGGACCCTTCCAACCCAGCCATTCTGTGGTTCTCTCATCTGTAAGGACCCTTCCAACCCAACTGTTCTGTGGTTCTGTCATCTTTAAGGACCCTTCCAACCCAGCCATTCTGTGGTTCTGTCATCTTTAAGGATCCTTCCAACCCAACTGTTCTGTGCTTCTGTCATCTTTAAGGACCCTTCCAACCCAACCATTCCATGGTTCTGCCATCTTTAAGGACCCTTCCAACCCAACCATTCCATGGTTCTGTCATCTTTAAGGACCCTCCCAACCCAACCATTCAATAGTTCTGTGATCTTTAAGGACTCTTCCAACCCAACCGTTCTATGGTTCTCTGATCTTTAAGGACCCTTCCAACCCAACCATTCTATGGTTCTGTCATCTTTAAGGACCCTTCCAACCCAACCATTCTTTGATTCTACAACTGTACCAGCTGCAGAGGTGCTCCTGGTGCAGGGGGGGCTTTGCTGAGCCCAGCTGAAGCTCCCATTGAGAAATGCTCTTTTCCATGTGTGTTGGGCTGTGGTGGGCAGTGTTGGGCAGCAGGCTGTGCAGCACAGATCTCCCAGCTCAGTGGGATCTTTCTAGAAATGCTTCTTCCAGACACCTCTTCATCAACCCGCCCCAGCAAGCGGGTTAGAGAACGTGCTGCATTCAGATTGAAGCTGCACAGGCATTGAAAGTGTGGGACTCCGTGTCTGTCCCCACTGAGATTCATCTTCAGGCTTTTAGCTGTGAAGCTTTGTGGTATTGGAGATCTGTGCTGCACAGACGTATGTAAGGTGCTTTCGTGTCAGAGTTGGCAAATTCAAATAAAGAAATGGAGATGGGAAATGCTGGGAGGTGTTTCCTGGTGCAGCAGTTTTTGCTGACGGTGCTCCTTGTGAGTGCTGGGATTGCCTGGGCTGGGCAGAATCACTCAGGTTGGAAAAGAGCTCTGAGATCCACAGTCCAACCCCAGCCTACCCCACCGCCCTCACCGACCACATCCCCACGTGCCACATCCCTACAGCCCTGAAACACCCCAGGGATGGGGATTCCCCTGCTGTCCTGTGCCACAATTTATTGCTCTGATAGCGCTGACGGGGTCATCAGAGCTCCTCTGCCTGTCATCATTCCTCTGCTCCTTTATGATTATGGCAGTTGGCATTGAATCATGTAATCCAGCAGCAGCAACCCTCTGTCATGTCTGCAGCTCTGCCTGCCCTGCAGTTCTCCTCCCTCTGACCCTTTCCAACACAGCCCAGCTCCCATCCCTGCAGAGCCTGGAGCTGCACAGTGCTCTGCCTCCAGCCCTGCATGCGTCTGCCAACAGAAATGCAAGCGATGGGAGCCTGTTTGGAGTTTGGCCTTCATGGCTGATGCTGTGTCTGTGGCAGCAGCCAAGTGCTCCATCCTCCAGGAGCAGTTTGCAGCTCTCAGATACCGCAGCAGATCGGAATACCTGCCCCTTGTTCTCATTCCATGTCATCCCTGTGCAGTCCCTCAGTGTATTTCCATGAGCTGCCGCTCACTCTTGGCTTTAGTTTTTCATTTGCAGGCTGGATGTGGCTCTGGGCAGCCTGGGCTGCTGGTTGGTGACCTGCACACAGCAGGGGGTTGGAA